CTTGGGGGAGGGCATGTGGGGGGCGTGGGGGCACATGGGGGAGGGCATGTGGGGGAGGGCATGTGGGGGAGGGCACATGGGGGCACCTGGATGAGGGCATGTGGGGGGACGTGGGGGCACATGGGGGAGGGCATGTGGGGGGGCACCTGAGGGAGGGCACATGGGTGGCAAGTGCTTCTTGCAAGTCCAATGCTCTTGACTAATTTCTAAGATACAGCGACCTCAGATGATTCCTTTTATTGCAATTTCTATACTATTAATGCAAAACATGTTGTGATCACAAATCCTAGACCTTGGCCTCCTAGTGTTTATTTTAATTTAATGGCAAAGAAACTTCTCACTCCTCTCCAGGATCCAAGCTGTCCTTCTCACAGCTTCTGTCACATCCCTGGGCAGCAACACGACCACCTGGGAACAAAGCCACACACGCACACACTGCGCCGCGCTGCCGGTCCGGCTCCTCATCCTGCCTGGAGAGCCTGCTCCGTCCACACCACAGACTGCGGAGAGTCGTTTCCGTGTGAAGCCATAATCTTCCCCACCGGCTCTCAGGGAGTCAAGTCACATCGCGAGAGGCGCGGGAGCCATCACCGCCCATTCACGGCCCGCATGCCCAGCATGCTAACGAGGCGCAGGCCCTGCCTGCGGCCCAGAGCCGACGCGGGGACATGCCAGGTCAGCGCCCACACCGGCAGGGGACCAGCCCCGGGCCCACCCCCCTTTCCTGCAACAACGCCGTTCACTCGGAACAGCCCACACCCTGGAAAAGGCACCCTCGTGAAATGCGGTGGTGGCTGCGACGTGCTTCCCCATCTCCAGGGAAAGCAAGACCGGCCAGAGCTCGAACGCGTGGAGGCCCAGGATACTTGGGATTCACATATTTCATATAATCTCATTTACTATGTTGGTGGGTACAAGTTGCTGTTAAAAAGATACAACTTGGTACTTAAAAAGATGCAACGTATCCTACAGAATTATGTATCCTGGTAACTCCTTATTAAGCAAAGCTATCGCTTCATAAAAAGCTATAAATGCTTAATAAAAGCTATAAATGTTTATTTGCATGGGGCATACTTCCGAAACAGGCTTTGCGTTGGTCGGTGACAAAGGACTTGTAGAGCAAGAATGAGAACGGAAATAGGAAGAGAAAGAGAGAGAGAAAAACACACCACTTGGCACCTGGGCGACATCATCGCCAGAAATAAACAACTTTCCCGACAAGGTTTCCATGGGCTAAAGCAGCGGTGGCCAACCTTTCGGACCTCACAGACCACTAGCGGTCCACGGACCTGGCTGGCGACCGCTGGGCTAAAGAACTAGAGGAAGGCCCGGCTGGTGTGGCTCAGTGGTTGAGCATCGAACTATCAACCAGGAGATCACGGTTGATTCCCGGTCAGGGCACGTACCTGGGCTGTGGGCTCGATCCCCAGTAGGGGGTGTGCAGGAGGCAGCCGATCAATGATTCTCTCTCATCGTTGATGTATCTCTCTCTCTCCCCCTCTCCCTTCCTCTCTCTCTTTTTTTTTAAAGAAGCCTGTCCTCTTCTTGCCTTGAGGTTTTTCCTCCAGAAGAGCACCCAGAGGAAGTCTTCACATTTCCTCTGAGCATGAGCTCAGCTCTAAGTGTAGGCTCCAGTGCATTTTATGAAGTTAAGTCAGGAAATAAGAGGCAAGAGAGCGGCACACAGAGGGCCCAGTGACCCAGAAGGTACAACAGACCGAGCCACACACACACTGGTGGTCAGCCCAGCCAGGACCTCCGCGGGAACATCCCTGCGCCCCAGGCGTGGGCCGCCCTTGCCCCTCATCCACGCGTGAGGACACAGGAAAATGCAGGCAGCAGCCGTGTCTGGGCCACACGGAGCAGAACCAAGCTGTGTCTTTCAGCCAGAACGTCCCTCGGCAGGTTTCACGCCTGCCTCCGACAAATGAGGAAGGTGACGGGATTATGCAAAGGGGTTACGCTTTCAAGAAAACTGCCTGACAAGGGTAACGTATTCATTCAGTCGGTCCAAGAAGAAAGAAAATGATTAGCGGAAGGGGTAGGGAGATAATGCGGGGGAAGGGAAGGTATTCCTCGGGTCAAATCATTAACATTCTTATTACTTGGAGCGGGGCTGGAAGAAAACCCGTCCGAGAATGCAGAGTTGAGGATAAGACAGAACCGTTAGGTCTACATTTAAAGAAAACCCGAGATGCTTCTTTGCAATCCTCTCCACAGAAGCGAGTGATTGCCTCCCCGGACAGACAATCAGGCATCCTGAAGGCGACAATGCCGCTGATTGCCGAGGGCTCGGTGCGCACCTGAATGGCAAACCGGGAGCTCCGCCTTCCCTTCTCACGATCTGTGGCCTCGGCCAGATGTCAACTACCACCCTCCTTGTAAGGGCTCCGTCTTCCTGTCTTGTAACGGAGCTGTTTTAATTGGGTGCAGCCTCTACTTCTTCCGGCGAGGAGGAGAGAATCCAGGGGCAAGGCCTACGGACCGCGACGAAGGGGACAGTTTAATGGTTTTCGGGTTCCGCTCACCGTGCTGTGTGAAGAGGTCACTGTGGATGATCTCGATCAAGCAGTACAGCTTCTGGATGGTCAGCAAGCCCACGGGAACGTTGAGGATGAAATCAGTAAACATTTTGCTGTGAGAAGGAAAAAGAAAAGTGTTTAGGGAAAAACAGCTAAACAGTCCAAAGCGTCGAGACAGTGTGGAGACGCAAGGTCATTCAGGGGTCATTAAAGGCCACCAGAATGTTGGCTAATGCCCATTATACAGTGTGGGGCAAAATCTTGTCCCAAAAATGATACTTTAAAATGTCACTGCTTCATTTCACACCCACTGAAATAGCTATAGTATAAAACAGCGGCCGCCAACGGGTGGTCCGTGAGGTCTGACAGGTTGGCGCCCGCTGGTATAAAAGACAGGCAATAGCGAGTGTTGGCCGGGATGTGGAGACACTGGAACCCTCAGACCGCGCTAGTGGGATGTACGACGGTGCAGCTGCTTCAGAAAACATGTTGGCAGCTCTTCAAAATGTGGACAAGTTACCCTCCGAGCCAGCGTTTCCACTCCTAGGCATGTGCCCAAGAGAAAGGAAAATGTTTATCTACACAAAACCGTGTGCATGAACCGCAGCAACATGGCTCATGGCACGGGGGGAGGGGAGGCAGCAACATGGCTCATGGCACGG